AGTCTCTCGCGTGTTCGGCGAATTGTTCTAGGTCGCTGGGCAGGAACGGAGGTTGCGGGGCTGGTTCAGACATCTTCAGACAGTCAACTCCTAGGGGTAGGAGCTACGTAGTGTCAGGGTGCGGGCTGGCAGGACGGTATGATGGGAGATGACTGGCAGGGACAGGTCGTAACAGATCAGATTCTCATTGACAGGTACAGGCACAGGCAGGGGCAGGCTAATATACAAGACGTAGCTCGAAGAGCTACAACAGGATCTAGAACTGAAGTTCAAGATAAACAGGTCGGAGATCACGTGCCGTGATCTTCCTCTAACTAAGCATCACGGTTCGCACCGTGACAATTTACGCGCCGCCAACGAGAAGCAGAAGCAAAAGCGTACCAGATCCCGGAGGCAGATACTTGCTGAAGAAGGCCTCTCAGTTCAAGAAGCTTCTCAATTAATTACTGAGCCGGTGGAAGCAATTGAAGTACCTCCTCTCCCTCCACGAAGAAGCCCTTCGCCAGCTTTACTTTACAACCACGTATACGGGCCCCCCCCCAAAGTGTAGTGGTTGTGGAGAAATAGGACATAAGATTAATAGATGCCTAGCTAGATAGATGATTTTAGTATATTAAATTTAATGGCGTTTTGGTTGATATAAATGTATTTTAAATTAAGAAGTTGGTTGGGGTGGGTAGCTCGCTTACATGGCCAGCTCGCTTACCGAATACGTTAGGGACAATTTTCCGCTTACATAAGGCCCGTGGGCAAAGCCCACCCGCCCGTCCATGGGCGATGTCGCAGTCTAATTGTAACCGTCGAAAAGTTGAACGTCATTTGTAAAGGCAGTTGTACATGTTCATGGATTCAAATTATACATATTTAAGATCTGAACTTTTTCTGGTTTTGATTCTCTTTTCTCGGTGGTTCTATGGTCTATAACGTTGCCCATAGAGGTGTCGCAAAAAAGCCGCTGAAAGGGATTGTTTTAATGATAGCCAGATGTGCAAAATTGTAGCATAGATCGCAGAATTGGGAAGAGAGTGGGATTCAAGTGTCTTAGTTGAAGACAACAGTCTTGTGGCCGTTCAAGATTACACGGCGCTCTGTCACGTACTTGACAGCAGTGGCGAGTACGTTGCTCTCCACGTTGCTGCCGGCATGTGTCAGCTCCCGGGGGCTCATACCATGGTTGACCCGAACAACATTCTGTTCGATGATCGGGCCTTCATCCAGGTCACTGGTGACGAAATGGGCAGTGGCACCGATGATTTTCACACCACGGTCGTAGGCCTGGTGATAGGGCTTAGCACCCTTGAAAGAGGGCAGGAAGCTGTGGTGGATGTTGATAATGCGACCGGACATGGCGGTACACAGAGTCGGGGACAGCACCTGCATATACCGAGCCAGCACAATCAAATCAACATTGTGTTGGTTCACCAATTCCAAAATCTGGGCCTCCTGCTGCGCCTTGGTATCTGCGGTGACGGGGAGGTGGTGGAATGGGATATTATAGGTTGCAGCGAGGGTAGCGAAATCTGGGTGGTTGGAAACGATTAGAGGCACCTCAATACTCAGCTGGCCGGTGGAATGGCGAAATAGGAGGTCGTTGAGGCAGTGGCCAATCTTGGAGACCATGATCAGCACGCGGGGCTTTTTCACAGTGGGGTTGATCTCGAAGTCGAGGGAGAATGACTCGGCAGTGGGCTCGAAGGCAGTGCGCAATTTCTCAAGTGCAGGAGTTTCATCTCCTCCACTTGCAATCGCAAATTGGGTCCGCATAAAGAAACGCTCAGAGGCAGGATCACCAAATTGCGACGAATCGATAATGTTGAGGTTGTTCTGCACGAGGAATGCAGTGACCGCGTGGACAATACCCGGGCGATCAGGACCGGAAAGAGTCAAAATGAAGCTAGAAGGCATGGTAAATGAGAGAACGGTGTTGAATCCGCTGTTATTTCTTCAAATGGCTAAGATGATGGAAGTGAGTAGCCCTGTTTCTTTCTTTCTTTTTTTTTTTAATCCCACTTTCCGGTTTCGGCGATGACTCATCTCATCGGCCAGTTTTAAGGCTCCAAGTCAGGTGGATCAGCCCGAACGCCCTTGGCCTTTCTTTTCAATCTTCATCATTTTGATCTTTTCAAATACTCCCAAAGATCTATCCAGATCATTGTGACTTGGGATTGATAATCCAAAATCATCATCTCGCTAGTCCCACGTTCCTCTTGAAGCACCGGATTCTATCTCCTTAGTCACTGTTTCCCTAGCGCCCCAAAGCCACCCGGTACCAAAATTATGCATTGGTCTTACCTCCCTATTTCGTCGGTGTCATGAGACTACAACTGCATTGGTAACAGGGCGATGCTCGGTATTGATTCCTTAAACCCCGTGAAACTAAATTACCTTCACTACGCTAGTGCGCCTTGCTGCACTCCCACGAGCCAGAGCGCGCAGCCAACGCAGACTACCGATAATGCCTTGTCTAGATCTCGCAGAATCCGGGAAGTTACTACCTAGTCACGGATCCGAGGTATTTGCCTAATCCGATTATGCCAACTTTTTTCATTTTCTCCCAGTCAGGCATTGTAAACAACTGTAAACAACATGGCGTTGTCCCTGCCTAATTTGGAGGCTGGCCACTTAGCCGCTAATGTGGTTCAACCCGATTCTAGTTATATTGCCGTAGCCTATTTTAGCAGGCTGAACACAATTTCCACCTAAGAGATGGGGTGTTCAGGGCGCATCTCGGAAGTACTAAACCCCTAGGAACCTCCACAAAAAAATATCAACTGCATCTGAGGCCCGTCGCGGATCTAGGGAGCTCCCTCCGTGTCCCCGGAGCATTTGTCGTGCTTCTCTCCATTGGGAAACATGCCAGTTAATTGTCATCCGGTCATACGGACCGGAAACCCGTGGCATGAAGCTTCATGTGAATCCGCTGGTATCTCTCCCCCCGGTTCCTATTGGAATATAAAAGGGCTTCTCTATCCACATTAGTCTCGAATACCTCATCAATTCACCCAACAATCAAGTTCTTGACTCGGTGCACATGACAATGGACATCATGACCTCCACACCCTCCTTCAACATCTACAGAAATGCCCTGCTGTTGACAGCCTTTCTCGGGGCTGCACAGGCACAGCAAGTGGGCACAAACACTGCTGAAGTCCATCCGTCCTTGTCTTGGCAAAAGTGCACCACTGGAGGCAGCTGCACTTCCCAAAACGGCAAGGTTGTCGTCGACGCCAACTGGCGCTGGGTTCACAAAACCGCCGGCTCCACCAACTGCTATACTGGTAATCGATGGGATACAACCATCTGCCCGGACGATGTTACTTGTGCCACCAACTGCGCCCTAGAAGGTGCCGACTACTCGGGCACTTATGGTGTTACTGCCAGCGGCAGCTCTTTGCGGCTGAACTTTGTCACCCAGGCATATCAGAAGAACATTGGCTCACGTCTCTACCTGATGGCAGATGATAGCAAGTACGAAATGTTCCAACTGCTCAATCAGGAGTTCACTTTTGATGTCGACGTCTCAAACCTTCCCTGCGGCTTGAACGGTGCGCTGTACTTCGTGTCCATGGATGAAGATGGTGGCATGGCACGATATCCGGCCAACAAAGCCGGTGCTAAGTATGGTACTGGCTACTGTGATTCTCAATGCCCGCGAGATCTCAAATTCATCAACGGCCAGGCCAACGTTGAAGGGTGGAAGCCGTCTTCCAACGATGTCAATGCTGGTACTGGCAATTATGGCTCTTGCTGTGCTGAGATGGATATTTGGGAGGCCAACTCAATCTCCACTGCAGTCACACCCCATCCCTGCGATGACCCATCTCAGACTAGGTGCACTGGAGATGCCTGTGGCGGTACATACAGCAGTGACCGCTATAGTGGTACTTGTGACCCTGATGGATGTGATTTCAACCCGTATCGCATGGGAAACCAGTCTTTTTATGGCCCGAGCAAGACCGTCGATACAAATTCCCCTTTCACTGTCGTGACTCAGTTTATCACCAATGACGGTACATCTACTGGCACCCTCTCGGAAATCAAGCGCTTCTATGTGCAAAATGGCAAGGTTATCCCCCAGTCTGTATCTACCATCAGCACTGTTACTGGAAACTCTATCACCGACTCTTTCTGCTCTGCTCAGAAGACCGCATTCGGGGATATGGATGTATTCACTCAACATGGAGGCATGGCGGGCATGGGGGCTGGTCTTGCTGATGGCATGGTTTTGGTGATGAGTCTCTGGGACGACCACGCAGCCAATATGCTATGGCTTGATAGCACTTACCCAGCCACCGCCTCTTCGACGACTCCTGGTGGTGTTCGTGGTAGCTGCGACATTTCCTCTGGCGAGCCTACCGATGTTGAAGCTAACCATGCGAACGCCTATGTTATATATTCAAACATCAAGGTTGGTCCTCTCGGTTCGACTTTCAGCTCGACTGGCCCAGGGTCCGGCACTACCGCCATCGCCACCTCCACCCCTACAACCACCACAACTACCACAACTACCACCGCTGGGTCAAACACAGCCAGCGCTGCTCACTACGCTCAGTGTGGTGGAAATAACTGGACCGGTGCAACCACCTGTGCTAGCCCATACACCTGTCAGAAGAAGACTGAGTACTACTCGCAGTGTCTTTAGGCAATAGGCAGCCCTGGGAGTCGAGTGGCAGAAATTTGGAGAATGGTGAAGAATACGAGACTACTGGATCAATAAATCACGCTCTCTATTATGTGTTATTTTTGATGTGTTTTGAATTTTAGTTAAGAGTTTGGATATTTGTTACATTTCCACTCAAAACCCGCATCTGTTCTTTAAAATTTCTATTCTCCAATTTTATTCTAAGCCCTTAAACCACATTCTCTCTTTGGTTAGTTCATGGATCCTCTTGAAAACAACTTTGTTAACCCCATTACCTGCTATTCTACAGAGTACGTACTTGTATTCCAACACGCAGCATTGGCTTTAAAATTACTTCCGTCAAGAAATTCGACTTCCAATGACTATTTAATTAACTCGCAAGTGTATATAAGTTGGCAATCCCTAATGGCACAGAAAAATCCCTACCGGCACAGATGCCTAAACCTAAATAGGATAGTCATCCTTGGCGCTCCATTTTCAATACTTGTGCAATTTTCTATGGTATCGCCACAGTTTAAAAACACTGCCCCCTAAACACATTAGCTACATTGACTTACTTATACCGGGATCTACCCAGCCCCATTTTAATTAATGCCTTCATAATTATACTTCAATTTCATGCCTCCATTGAGTCATACGATCTATATAGGGCTAATTTACTAGGGCTAGCCGAGTATCCCGCACAGAAAAATCTCTACATACCAATCACCGTCTATAAATTTTAATCTCCCATAGTAAAAGCTTTCTTTTTACACTCTGTTTATTATATACAATATGTCAGGGTGCGGGCTGGCAGTACGGTATGATAGGAGATGACTGGTAGGAACAGGTCATAACAGATCAGATTCCACTTGACAGGTACAGGCAGGGGCAGGCTATTATACAAGACGTAGCTCGAAGAGCTACAACAGGATCTAGAACTGAAGTTCAGATAAACAGGTCGGAGATCACGTGCCGTGATCTTCCTCTAACTAAGCATCACGGTTCGCACCGTGACAGATAATTGGTTTATAGAGATTTCACTATATAGGATACTCGGCTAGCCCTAGTAAATTAGTCCTATATAGATTTTTTGACTTTAGTATAGGTATAAAATTAAAGCATAATTATAAAGGCGTTAATTAACATAGGGCTAGGTAGATCCCGGTATAAGTGAGTCAATATGGCCAATATTTTTAGGGGGCAGTGTTTTAAAACTATGGCGATACTATAGAAAATTGCACAAGTATTGAAAATGGAGCGCCAAGGATGACTATCCTATTTAGGTTTAGTCATCTGTGCTAGTAGGGATTTTTCTGTGCCATTAGGGATTGCCAAATGATATACACTTGCGAGTTAATTAAATAGTCATTGGAAGTCGAATGATTTCGTGGGGAACTTGTAATTGCGGAAACTGCAGGCGACTGACAAGATGTATTTATGCCAATCGCCAGTAGCAGTTGGACACTGACCTAGCCTTTTAATCGTGGGTTCTATGTGAACTATTCTTGTCGTTGATCATCTCCTGTTTGATATCTATCTCGTTTACATTAAATAAAAATGCTTCCATGAAATGGTATGCAAATTCAGCTGAAAGGCCAGACGAGCGGCTGGGTGATGGATTCTGTTCGTCGGATTAAAATCAAAGTCCACCCCATTCAAAATTTTCCTTATTCCTTGTTCAAACTCCATGCCCGTAGGATTTGTCGGATAAATCACCACAAATAAGCATGGCATTCTGAGAAGCGTTAGGCTCTTGGTAATAGGTACTTCGTGTCGGTAACATTATCCCACTTCGTTTTCATGTGGATTGATTGCGCTTCATTCTTCGGGGTTTAGGGTGCCACCAGTGGCGCCCTCCTTTCCCCCAAACCTCATCGCCGAGATTACAGCTAGGGATTGTGATGCCGTGTCGAATCTGGACTGTTTTTCTTCGCATATTGGCCGTTCTCTTTTCAATAATTTTAGTTCGGGTGGCGGTCCGTGGAAAGAAACCAAATTGAGGACATGAAGATGATTCCCGTAGACCTCTCAGCTGGGCTGAAGTGTTTGCGTGCACGTGAGAACAAAGCTTCGGAGTTTCAGTTCTAGCTAAGGAGCAATTTCTCATCAAGGAATTTGCTCCTTGTCGTTCTTGTCCATTTTAACTTGATACAAATTCCATTGTAACCCCCGATACATTTACAAAATTTGCAACACCCTTCTGGACGTCCGATCACTTGCTCAGAATGCGGTTTACCTCTTTGCTTATCTTAGCTGGTGCCACAGGCCTTGTGCTGGCAGCACCAGGCCCGTCAATATCAAAAAGGGCATCTTCCTTTGTTTGTATGAAGTGTCATAGTCGTGATTTAACTAAACATCTGACTGATTCGTTGATAGGGTTCGGCGCAAACGAGGCTGGCGCAGAGTTTGGGAGCGGGAAAATTCCAGGAAAATTAAACACCGATTATATCTGGCCATCGAACTCAAGTATTCAAACCCTGCGGAGTGCAGGAATGAACATATTCCGCATTCCCTTTGCAATGGAGCGGTTGGTTCCCGGAACTCTGACATCGAGTGCGGATGCCACCTACCTGGCTTCATTGAAAAGTGTATGTATTTATAATCGTGACTATCCATCGATGAGAAAACACTGACGCAAATCTTGAAAAAGACTGTCAACTATATCACGTCAAACGGTGGATTTGCTGTTGTTGATCCTCACAATTTTGGACGATAGTAAGTTCTCAGCTTGCATTGCGCAGTGAGGGGATTCATCTGACCATATTTGCATAGTTATGGCAACATAATCACATCTACTAGCGACTTTGCAGCCTTTTGGACGACTCTCGCATCGGAATTCGCATCGAATAAAAATGTCATCTTCGACACGAGTGAGAACCCCCATTCCTCAATTTAAGCCGTACTAACTTTGAAGATAACGAATTCAATTCGGAGGACCAAACCTTGGTTCTGAACCTCAACCAAGCTGCTATCAACGCCATTCGAGCTGCAGGAGCCAAATCGCAGTACATTTTCGTGGAGGGCAACTCGTGGACTGGTGCATGGACATGGACAACTGTTAATGACAACATGAAAGCTTTGACAGATCCACAGGACTTGATCATTTACGAGATGCACCAGTACCTTGACTCTGACGGTTCCGGGACATCAGAGACTTGTGTTAGCTCAACTATCGGCCAAGAACGAGTTGTGGCTGCCACACAATGGCTCAAGGACAATGACAAGAAGGCCTTCCTAGGCGAATTTGCTGGGGGTGCCAATTCTGTCTGTCAAAGTGCAGTGATAGGTATGCTCGATTACTTGCAAGCGAATAGCGATGTTTGGCTTGGCGCGTCCTGGTGGTCTGCTGGACCATGGTGGGGAGACTACATGTACAGCTTAGAGCCTCCTTCTGGCATAGGCTATACTTCCTACATGGGTCTTCTAGAGAGGTATTTCCCTGGCTCAGGTGGCTCAGGTGGGACAAACACTGCAGTCACCACCACTACCTCCACAACAACTGTCGCTGCTGCAACCAAGACCCCCACAATTGGATCAGGCACCACTGGCGCAGCTCATAATGCATAATGTGGTGGAAATGACTGGACTGGTGCAACCACTTGTGCTAACTCTAACCCTTTCCAACTGCAGAGCGGCTACTACTTACAGTGCCTATGGACAAAGCACTAGGGCCTTAGAACACATAGGCATCGGTTACAGTAGGATGAGAGTCGTATATTTCTTACCGAATCAAGGTTTCGTTTCATCGTTTATTCATTATTCAAGAGCTCAGACGGTTTAGGTTGACTTGAATGAATCAAAATTCCGGTTTTGTAAACGTTCACCGAGAGTCCCCTGGTGTTTTCTTTCCCCACAGCAAGATTTCACTCAGATTTTATCTCCTGTATGAAATTTTTTTTTTGCTATTGAAGAGTAGCGACCAACTCATCCGCACTCTTCATCTCGCCAGCATTATTCTCGCCGACGTCCAACGCAACCAAGAACCGACTCACACAGTTATAACCGGCAATTCCGGTGGTCAGCTCCACGATTTCGCGGTCACCGTACCCGACCGTCTTCAATTCAGCAAAAACAGCATCTTGAACCCTGATGGTGCGAGTCATCTGATCGGTATAGCGTAGAACAGCGCGCTGCTGCGCGGTGAGTACGCTATTCTCAAGCTCAACAATGTCTCCCTCGGCGGTGCAGGGAAGTGTAAGAACAGCCTGCAATTGATCCGGCTTAATGCCGCCTTTCAGAGCCAGCGGAGCGTGAGCATTCCATTCGTAAATAGCGTTATTAAGTACAGCGACACGGCAGACTGCCAATTCCATGATACCAGAGTCGATTAAAGTGCGCGACCTAATAGCTCCGATGAAGCTGTTCCAACCATCGGCCACAGGTGGACTGTGAAGAAGGGATAGGTCAAGAGGAATCAAAGGACGGGGGTTTCTGCGTTCCGCGATGCGGGCATAAATGTCGGCGGTGTCCGGGGCTGCGTCGGCAGGCGGGGTGGAAGGGGCGTAGGGCAGACGCATGGTGCGTGTATGATTGATCGCGATTGATTTGAGTGTGTTATTGAAGATAATACACGCACATCAGATTCCGGTTTCAAAGCATTATGATCTCTTCAGCGGCACCTCAATAGTCGCAACACGGGGTGGGGAATCCTTGATGCCGAGGGGCGGTGGGAAATGTCTTACCCGCCCTTGTGGGGGAGTGTTTCTCCGGCATCTTCCTCAGCTGTGTGGGTAGAAATGTCCACGTACTACCTTGCATGGATGCTTCCCCGGATTATTGTAGAAGGCACTCGAAGTTTTAAAAATGTAGTGGAATAGGTAACTATTTCGCATTGCACTCATACCACGGAGATCTAATTAGAAGACAAAATAACAAATTCCGATTGTCTCCCAACCACGGCATTGGAGTCAAAACACACTCCCGCGGGGTGCCGCCCCTGGATGCCGATGAGCTCCCCCGCATGCGGATATCGTTGGGCTTTCGCTGTCTTCAAGTTTCGACTATGGATGATTCGCTCTGTTTTCTCACGGGCGGCTGTTTTGATCCATCGGTCATTTTCCAGCTCCTCAATCGTGAATATGAAGCATCACTTGATGGTTGGTACCTGGACCGCCCCCGGGCGCATCTATACCGTGCAATTTGATGATGATGCTCTCACGCTCAAGTTGGTGAAAAAGACCGAAATCCCAGAAGCGGAGCCCATCTCATGGATGACCTTCTCTCACGACAAGAAGGCGATATATGGCGCAGCTATGAAGAAGTGGAACAGTTTTGCCGTCAACAGCCCGACAGAGATCATTCACCAAGTGTCGCACCCGGTTGCTGGCCACCGTATGTCCAAGAAGTCAATGAAATGCAAATCCAAATCCCCTCACTAACGCTCTCTTCTTTTGTTTTTTTTTGCTAGCGCTGGCTCCCAGCAGCGAGACAAACACTCGTGCTATCTTCGTGCTTGCTGCTCACAAGCCTCCATACAATGTTTACGGCAACCCTTTCTACAATCACGCTGGTTATGGCAACGTGTTTTCCGTGAAGCCCGACGGATGTCTAGATAGAAACATCCAGAACTACGAATATGTCCCCAACACTGGTATCCATGGAATGGTTTTCGATCCCACGGAGACTTACTTGTACTCCGCCGATCTCACGGCCAACAAGATTTGGACGCATATCAAGGATCCCAAGACAGGCGCACTGGAACTGGTGGATTGTCTCGAGGCTCCTGATGCTGGTGACCACCCCCGCTGGGTTGAGATGCACCCGAGCGGCAAGTACCTGTACGCGCTGATGGAGGCGGGCAATCGACTGGCAGTCTACGTGATCGATGAGCGCACCCACAAGCCGGTTTTCACTCACATCACGTATCCATTACTGCCTTCGGGTAAGTCTCAGGCCTTCTGGACATGTGCGACCTATGACATTGGCAACTAACAAGTAATCTCCTCGCTAGGTCTCCCCCCCCGCAACAAGTATCGTGGAGATGTCACATTTTGCACCAAAGGTGGGGAATACCTTTTTGCCACTACTCGGTCAAATCATTTCGACGTGACCGGCTACATCACTGCGTTCAAGCTCGGCTCGCATGGCGAGATCGAGCGCCAGCTCTTCATCAGCCCCACCTCGACCAGTGGTGGCCATTCCAACGCCGTCAGCCCCTGCGACTTCAGTGATGAGTGGCTCGCACTATGCGATGACCAACTCGGATTCGTTGAGATGTACCGCTGGCGTGACGAGAAGCTGGCACGCGTTGCCCGTGTAGATATCCCCGAGCAAGGATTTGGAATGAATGCTATCTGGTATGATTGAATAAATAAATTCAGAAAATTTGATAATCAAATTTTTATGCCAAATCCAAGAATGAACATGAAGTATTTGGGAATTTGAAAAGATTAGTTTCATCATGGCAGGAAACGGAGATTAAATCTCATCGGCAGTCAAGGTCGGGTTATGCTCTCACCCGAATGAGGGGCAATTCTCAAAAGCCGATTTATTCTCATGTTGAATGTCTTTCTTTGGGATCTCCTTTTGAATGTTTTGCATCTTCAGAGTCTTGTGAGTTGTCGATTGACTTTGGAAATCCTTTCTATTGCAAGGTCTTCATTATGCCTACCCCCGGTCTTCTTTACGTGACAATGCAGCCCCAGGGCTCGTTGCCGGACACCCAGTTCCACGACTGGTATAACACTGAACATGGACCTCTGCGTCTGCGATTGCCCTTTGTCACCAATGGATTTCGCTTCCGTGCTACCGATGGAGAGCAACCTGAATATGTGGCTTTATATGATATTACCGATATGGACGAGTTAACCCGCGAGACCTACTTGGATCTAAGAACCGACTTGATTAAAACCGAACGGGAGAAGAAGACTATGGCCCAAATCGATGTCGGCCGTTTCCTGTACGACCTAGTGGATGAGCGTAGCAACCCCACCTTTCGCCCGCTAGAATATCAAGTCGATACAGATGCCGAGACGCGGGGTAGCGTCCTCATCGCCGTCCGAGTTGCCACTCATCCCGAACCCGCCAAACAAGCTGAGCTGGAAAAATGGTACCGAGAGGAACATTTTGAAATGCTCTCCCGTGTGCCTGGATGGCGTCGGAGTCGCCGTTTCGTCACTGCGGCAATCGATTCCGCCGCCCGGCGCGAATCGCTAACTCTTCATGAGTATGCTCCGGTCAATGGTCTTGGAGGTGACGCCCACAAAGCCGCCATGAATACCCCATGGGGAACGCGTCTCATGAGCGAGGTGGTCATCTCCAAAAAGCGTCGTGTATATGAGTGGTACTACACCTTCGGCCCTGCTCCTCGTGAGCTCACTTCGCTGGCTGCCCCGGATGTTGTGGGACCTTGGAACTCTAATGATGGCCGTACTCGCACATTTCCCTCGGCCGCCCGCCCGGCTGTCGAGTCATTTGTTACTACTTCTGACGGCGTTGAGATCCCTTACCGTCTGGAGGGTAGCACCGACCCCTACGCGCCTGTCGTCATTTTGAGCAACTCCATCCTGGTCAACTGGAACATCTGGGATGGTTTCATTAACGCGTTTTTTGCCCATCAAGAGAACCAACGCTACCGTGTTGTGCGGTATTTGACAAGAGGACGACGCCCGCAAAGTGGTGAGCAGGCTGTCAATATTGATTTGCTTGCCTCTGATCTAGCTACGTTGCTGGAGGCATTGCGTGTGCCCCCCAAGGCCGCTCGTTTGATCGGTGTTAGCCTAGGTGGTGTGACCGTTTTGAACGCGGCTCTCCTTCACCCAGAACGCATTGGAGCTTTCATCGCATGCGACACCAACTCTTCCGCCCCCGAATCCAATCGCAAGGCATGGGGTGACCGTATCGCCATCTCTGAGAAGGAAGGCTCTATCGATCCAGAGACCAAGGAGCCCATTGTCGGCGAAGAGTTGGCCGAATTAACCACCCGTCGCTGGTTCATACCGGAGTCATACCAGACCAAGCCTGAGGTCCTTGCGCCCGTCAAAGAGGCCGTTCGAACCAACAGCTTAAAGGGATTTGCCCATAGCGTGCAGGCCCTTTGTGCCTACGATATCCGGGATCGCATGGCTGCTGCCACTGTACCAGGTCTCTTCGTCGCCGGAGCCAATGACGGAATCCTGCCCCAGACAATGCAGAAAATGGCCGCAGATCTACGCGGTGGCGCTGATCTTAAGATCATCGAACGTGCAGGCCATCTGCCTATGGTGGAGCAGCCTATGGCATTTGCAGAAGTTGTGACTGAGTTCTTCAGCAAAATCGATGGTTGATTGCATTTCTATGGGTCATCTGTGGACAGATTTTGTTCCCCGTCGTTTGCAGGGAGAGTGGTGGTGAATTTGTTCATTGAACAGTCACCCTAGTGAGACGTGACCATATCTTCCCTTGAAGTGTGTGAAGAATTATTCCACGATTATTCCACGATTATTCCACGATTATTCCACGAGAGACATTCGCGACTTTGGGTCTAGAAATGTGTATGTATGGGCATAAACGTCAGATAACTCCTTTTCGACATTTCCATTGTATGGTAAATCGTATTACCAAGTCCGAGTGTATTATTTAGAGGACGAGGGGTCTCACGTAGGATAGAGAGTTGACCGGAGGCTGATTAGGTGTGCTTCAAAGCACTCAAACAACCGGATGTTAAGTAGTCAGACTGAGATGGAATTTAAATAAAGATCTTAGCATGGACTGTTTCAAACAACATTGATGAATACAATCGCAAAGAAGAAGAGAAGAGGAGACGCAAAAAACGAAAAGGCAAGCTTAGCGGTTCGGTAGACGAAGGCGACCAAGGGTGAAATTCAACTTGCGGGGGAAACGTCAACTGCACTTCTCCTTGACATGCATTTTTCTCCAAGTTCTAGTTTTCCACTCAATATTTACTATTTCTCTTTCTACTAAATTGTTCCTTTTCTTTTCATCATGCCTGAGAGCAAGATTCCTCAACCCGGTCCTGCCAAACTCAAGCGCAATGCTGGCCCTGACGAGTGGCTGGAGGCAGCAAAAGACTGCAAGTATTTATCGGAGCCACACATGAAGCAGCTGTGTGAGATTGTCAAGGAATACATGATGGAGGGCAAGTCTTGCATAGTCTGATCTCTGTTTGCTTCTTCTGACTTTGTTTGCAGAATCAAATATCCAACCAGTGTCGACGCCTGTCACAGTCTGCGGTGACATCCACGGCCAATTCTACGATCTCTTGGAACTGTTTCGAGTTTCTGGAGGCATGCCAGATGGTACAGAATTGGATCCCCCGAAGACCTCCCCCTCTGTAATTACCTCCGCCGATATCGAACCCCCCTCAAGCATCTCAGACCCTAAAATTCGCAAGAAGCTTCGCGGTCCCAACGTGAACTCCAATGACGAGCAGGAAGACTCGAGCTCGCGAAGCCAATCGGCCAGCAACACATCTACCGAGCTCCAGCTTAACCGCAAGTTTGTATTTCTGGGTGACTACGTGGACCGTGGATACTTTAGTCTGGAGACGTTAACGCTTTTACTCTGTCTCAAAGCAAAGTAAGTGCCACACACCTCCTGGTGGAATTGATGACAAGTGTTCACTGTTGATTTCAATATGCTAGATACCCTGATCGAGTCACATTGGTTCGTGGCAATCACGAGTCGCGCCAAATCACTCAGGTATACGGTTTCTACGAAGAATGCTTCCAAAAATACGGCAGTGCTTCAGTATGGAAGGCATGCTGCCAAGTTTTTGATTTCATGACATTGGGTGCCATCATTGACGGCAAGGTGCTGTGTGTTCATGGCGGTCTCAGCCCTGAGATACGCACATTGGACCAAGTCCGGGTGGTAGCCCGCGCACAGGAGATTCCCCACGAGGGTGCATTCTGTGATCTAGTATGGTCTGACCCCGATGATGTGGAAACGTGGGCTGTCAGTCCCCGAGGAGCGGGTGAGAATTATTCGGGTCTCTTTTTTTGGGACATAGAGCTGACAATCTTGCCAGGATGGTTATTTGGAGACAGAGTAGCGGATGAGTTCTGCCATGTCAACGATCTTTCATTGATCGCACGGGCTCATCAGCTGGTCAACGAAGGCTATAAATACCACTTTAACAACCAAAATGTCGTCACCGTGTGGAGTGCGCCAAATTATTGCTACCGATGCGGAAACCTGGCCTCGGTCTGTGAAATCGGAGAAGATCTCAAACCTACCTTCAAGTTGTTTAGTGCAGTCAGCGATGACCAGCGGCATGTCCCAACTTCACGGCCAGGGCGCAGCGAGTACTTTTTGTAAGATGCGATACGAGTTCCACACCGGCGCTGGCGTTCGGTTTGTTAATTGGGCGGAAGAATTGGCATTATATAATGATTTAGACCAGATTTAATGATGCGTACGCCTTGTGTTTTGATATGAGAAACCAAAAAGGGAACATGGATGAAAGATTTTTGAATAAAGAGAACAGGATTTCTGATGACTTGATGGGAGCGCGGCGTATCTGTCCCGCTCGCCAATGCCCTTCTTTAGCATCAAGAAAAGGAATGACAGACTGCGGAATTTACAAGCAAAGGTGGTCTCCACAAAGCACTCAAATAGCATCCACGTATCTGCTATTGAATCGCGTCATTCCTCTACTGAGGCTGATATTCCAGTTCTGAAATCTCAACTCCCTGATGAAGATAGCCTCTTGCAAGGTCGCGTAAGCGGTCTCAAAGACCATCAGCCGCAGAAACTATATATATAATATTAGAAGTAGTAACGGTCATATTAGATGGAAACCTGCTCACCCATTATGAGAGTTCTGCACGGCTCATCAGGGATGTTAGGCAGTCTCTCTATCTGGCTCCCAGAGGCTTCGGTTGAAATTATCTTCCGATAATCGGGTACACCCTGGTAATAACATACACTTTCATGTTTTCCAATCGCTGTTTTGCTATTTGCAAGGCCGTACTCCATGTAAATGGATATGATAGGTATCTAGTAAAGTCTTGTGTCAGTAAATAGTATGAGCTTTCAGTGAGATGCAACTGACATAACCCTTATCTATGATATCGTCTTGAAGAATATCATCAAGATGCTCTTCGGCCGCGGTCACAATTTCTTCCTTATTAGCTTGGATCTGAAAAGGAACCATAGTAAATGCACACACCCATTGAATCTACCTGCCAGACTAGATGCAGTCGACGAGTGTGGGACGTACATGTATTGTAGCCATGAATCATTTTCTTGAGATATGGAATCGATGTCACGATGCCGAACCCGGTCGCAATGATCAGAGTGGTTTCGTACGGATCCACGTCCTCGGTGATTCCATGTGGCCCAGTGAATAAGGCCAAGAATGATATCAAGCTATCCGTGGGCAGAGCACCATGACGTACGAGATCCGCAGAGAAGCCCTTTCGAGGTTGTACGAGTAATTTCAGAGTGCCCTGTCTCCCTCTGGACCAAGATATGACAGTGAAAGGATGTGTCTGGGTCCATGACCACAAACTAACCGATGGCATCCAGAGGTTGATGTATTGGCCAGGTTCGACCTGCACTGGTCGTGGTAAAATAATTTGGACATTTGCAGCTGTTCTGTTGGGAAGGATTTTCTCTTCAATTTTTTTGCTTGAGAAGAATATAAGGGCTCGAGGAGCACCCCGGCCAGAAAGTATTCCGTTGCTGTATAAAATGATTGCCAATTCTAGAAACGTCGTTAGCCCCAGGATGCTCAGTGTAACATGGACATACAGCCTTGCCGAGCCGTTGCGGCCCGGGAGATGCTGCAAGGTACCATAACAAAAACTCCGGCAAATATCCGGTGGCTTCGAAGAAATATTTCGTAGGACCAAAGTCGAAAGTATGGAATAGAGAACAGAGCTAGGATTCCGAGTGCAGAAGCACCCTACGCCTGTTAGCGGAGCTAGTTTCATACTGTATACTGTATTGAGAAGGGTTCATACGATCACAGTGAGCAGGTTTCGTGTCTCACTGAGGGAAAAGCTAAACTTTTGGCCTTGAAGCTCGGCGGTGATGTGAAATGACAGCAGAACAACGGCCATCCAGCCCGTTGCCCGATGAATCTTGCGGCACGAACGCCAGGAGATTCCAAGCAGTCCAGCCAGAAAACTAAGATGGGCGGCTGATAGAGGAAAGGCCATGTTGATGAGGGCCAGCTCGCTTGCCCTGAGGCCCGAGTTTACGAGCGAGTCGGTGCGAAAAAATACCAAAGCAATGTTGACAGCGATGTAAGAGACATGAAGGAGGACACCAGTTCGGGACCATGGTCCAAGGATTCGGTGCCTGTGGACGAGGACAGGCAGGGTCAGATATCTGGAGAGTAAAACAGAAAGTGATTCTGTCCAGTGAACTAGGACGTGACGAGTTTGAATCAACAAGAGTGCCAGAAATATGCCGCTTACAGTAATTGCGTAAATGGCATATACATTCATACTCAATATGGATTCGACCTTACTGCGAATTCAAAGGGAGGGAAGGGGCAAATATATATTTGACTCCTCGATGCGGAACCAGTGGCTCAAAGACCTTTCAAACTTGGTACATACTACTTTTTTTACATTTTTCAATGACCGAGTGACCAACAAAGAGTACAGGAGTCACAATACCCTCGTCCTATTCACGAATCGGGTGAAAACATATATCAAGCTTGACCTGGCAGCAAGCCTCATACGGACGAATCGACTTCTCCGGTTTATGAAAGACAAGTGCCGTGTTTGATGAACTAGGATATGCATAGGCAATGAAGAATATGACTAGGTGCCAGGCTTGTGGGCGATGGTAATAGAGTACAACTATTTTAGCACAACTTTAGAACAGGGCAGAGGTTTCCCATTCGCACTGTCAATAAGATAATTATGACCTTTCCATTACAGTGTACTGTACCAGAGCTTCCGTAAGCTACAGAGGGCTTA